CCCCCCCCCCCCCCCCCCTCTCCAAAACCAACACCGGCACATGCGCTCGGAAAATACAAAACATTACCCGAGGATTGAGACACTTCGAAACACTCGACTCTCTGCGAGCACGAACAACTAAAAATCCACCATTATTGTGCCATCCACATGTGAACGTAGACATGCAGAGACTTTCTTTCCGCACCGCCATGAATCGTCTGGTTTTGGTGACGGTTCCGGTGGAGACGATACGACACACACAACGAATGGGCCGTCTTCGGACTCACCCCCCCCGCTCCCCGCGCGGCCGCGGAACCCCCCCCCCAACAGAACTTGACCGTTGGGGAGGGATCACCACGAAAACCCATGGACGGGGTTTCGCCTTGAAAAAACTGTACCACCAATTGTTTGGTGTCTCTTTGCTTGCTCGCAAAAAGCACAGCTCTCTCACCCATTTCCTTTTTTTTTTGTCGCCACGCGTTTTTACCCGAAAAAAACGACGCCAACAAATAGCACGCATCACAGTCGTGCGCGGCAGCGTGAGCGACAGCGGCAAAACGGAACACGACAAGGGTAGGCGAAACAAAAAAACGGGTCCCTTTGAACCAAGTAAGACCTATCGATGCTGGATTCATACTCCCCTCACCAAATGGATCCTTTTCCCCCACTATCCTTACGCCCCTTCACGAAAAAAGTGTTGTGTTTTCATTTAACCCATCCACGATGGGCTCCGGAAGTTCTGTCCCGCGTACACTGCCTTGCTGCCGAGCTCCTCCTCGATGCGCAGGAGCTGTTTCGACAAGCACGGGAGGGGGTGCAACACAAAGCGTGAAGAGGGGGGGTGGGGGTGGGGGTGGGGACGTACTCTTATGTTTTGCATGCCTTAGCGGTTAGACCATTGACCACGCGCCCTCGAGAGGACGGAGCATTGTTCCCACAGGACCGATCACCGATGGCCAATCGTTCCTTTCTACTTTGCCAAAGGTGGCTCAAAAATGTCTTCCCTAGTCTGTCTATCCTAACGATATCCCTTCCCGCCTTTTCAACCCACCTCCTATGCNTCTCCCTGTACGTCCCATCTCTTTTTCCCAGCTCAGTCAGGCGGGGGGGTATAAGTACGTGAGAAGAGAGAAGGGCGCCACACCAAGACCAATAACGAAGCGCGCCACACAAACTTACGCAAGTGACTCCATTGACAGAAAGCATAGCAGGCATCGAAGACGTGACGCGCAAAACGAGAACTGGAAAAATGGGATCAAGAGAGGAGCAACAAGCGTGCCGTCTGCAAACAACAATCAATTTCACAGCTAAGACAGAAGGGACAGGATACGGGAGGAGAAGAGAGCAGAACACCGCCCGACGAAAACATAGAACCAATCGCCGGCACAGGGCGAAGAAAATGCTAAGAGTTGTAGCTCGAGAGTGGTTTCGCCTGACGCACGGCTTCGCTTGCCCGGCTACATCTCTACCTCGGTCAGGACCTACACCCAGCCAGGGCTTGGCCTGCATGCTTGCACTACTCGGGGGTGATGAATAATCCCGCGGGTAAACGCAACAGTCGACAAATCGTCGCATCGCCTCCTCAGAGTTTTGACTTGCTCTTTTTTGGGTTGGGTGCGTGCGGTATTCTGCCAAGACAGGTTTGCGTAAGGGTTTCGAAACACACACTCAAGCGCGGTTTCGACTTCGCCGCGCGTTCTCCTCCTAACCTATCGTCCGCAGCCTTTTCGCGATGACAATATCAGGCTTGCTTTTTTAGGAGGGGCGTACAGGGCGGGGTTAGGAGTAGGGATACGAACCCCCTGTCGCTATTCTATAGACTAAGAATAAACTACATAGCCGCATCGCCTCCTATCGTTTTGTTCGTTCGACCGCTTGCTTGCCTGGTTGTACTTGGCGAGGCGCTCCGACCGGCAGGGGGCCCCGGTCTTGATCTGCCCCGTGCACAGCCCCACGGCAATGTCGGCGATGTAGTTGTCCTCGGTCTCCCCCGACCGGTGAGAGGTCATCACCCCCCAGCCCAGCTGCTTGGACATCGTGACCGCCTTAATGGACTCCGTCACGGACCCGATTTGGTTCACCTGTTGTGGGTGTTATTCGATACAGGTGGTGGTGTCAGTGGTCATCCGTTATTGCGGGTATTGTTATTGGGTACTGGTATTTCGACATATACAGCTGGTGGCAGTGGCCGCGGTGTTGAGCGGTCATCCGTTATTGTTGTAGTTGCGGGTGTTGTTATTGGGTACTGGTATTTCGACATGTACAGCTGGTGGCAGTGGCCGCGGCGTTGGTGGCCATGCGCGATGACGAGGCGAGGAAAGAAGGGAGAGAGGTCGTTGTTGTGGCTGTTACGGCACACGTGGGGGCAGTAGTGGCAACGGTGGCCATCCACGACTAGGAGGCGACGAGGCAGGGGAGGGGGGCGTACTCTTTTGACCATCACGCGCTTCCCCTTCAACGGCGCATCGTCGCTATTCAAAACGTCAATAGCCTCTATCGACGGGAGGGGCGTCCGAATCCCTTCCTTCCGTCGCTGACGTCACACACAGCGCGTCCGAAGGCCAAGGAAACGTAGCATCTCTGCCTCGGGTGTTCTCGCCCGAATACACGCTGGCACAAGTGCACCGCCTGGGCAGACCCTGCTCTCCCCGCACCCATGCTTCTGGGGAAAGGGGCGGCGAACGCACGGCGGGCACGGTTGGTGCAGCCGACCACGCCGGGAAACGATACACGCCAGCACAATCCCCCAATAACCTCAAAACAAAGGGAAGCAATTAAAACAAAACATGAACAACACACACCGCGCCACAACGCCTACGAAAAAGAGAATGGAACCCCCTCGAATTGATATTTGGAGGTGCTAAAGCGCTCGAAAAAAAGGTGCACTTTTTCGGCAAGAAGGTAGGCTCTGCATCACACATCCTCTGATGCGTCTTCTCAGTAAGTCTGTGATTTATGAAAACCCACCCATTTATCTCAAGGACCAGCACGAATGTTCGGGACGTTAAGCTCATCACGACCGTCTTGAAGAACACGGAGAACGATGACAACAATAACGACACCAAACGCACCTTGAGCAAGAGCGCGTTGCACGCCTTCTTCTCTCCGGCCTCCGTGATTCGGGACGGGTTAGTAACGAGAAGGTCGTCTCCGACCACCTGTGTCACCGCGTCAAGCAGCGACAGACAGGAAAATACGAACAAACAAAATTAACGGGGAGCGAGAGAGAGAGAGAGAGGGGGGNNGGGGGGGGGGGGGGGGGGGGGGGGGGGGGGGGGGGGACGCATCAACAATCACGAAAGCACGAAAAAAAAGGCCCCCGTTTACATCGTCAACGCGGAGTCTACGATTGCGTACAGGGCCGTGCTTGTTCGGGGGCAGCACCAGCAGCACCACACACACAAGCTTTTTCCTGCTTTCAACCGCACCTGAGACTGACGTCTTTTCGTTGGTCGTCAGCCGATTGGCGCGGTCTAGTCAAGCTGAAACCAAACCATCAGACCAGTCTAATGGGATGCGAGCACATTCATCCCTACACCCGCCAAGATCTAGTGGGTAGCCTTGCAGCCTGCTAAGGGCCAGGTCATGGGTTCGAGTCCCGGCAGCGAGAGTTTTTTTCTCACTAAATCAATCCTGGTCTAGGACGAAAGCGACGCGCTGCAAAGAAAGCTCGTTTGTTAGTAAACCATAATCGACTTCGCAAGTCGCGAGGGAAGGGATTGCTGTACCATTCTCGCGATAAAAATACCTCAGGCATGAACCGCAGGAGGGGGTCCAACCCCCTCCTCCTATGTGACCCCGGTTGGGCCGTCTAGCTAGTAGAAGTGGAGGATAGGGGCCAGAGGGGCAGACGACAGAGTCCAATGATGGGAGAAAAGCAAAACAAAAAAAAACAACCTGTACGGCGTCACCCGCGGCCGCCTAGTCAGCTGGCTGACTAGTCCAATGGTTTGATTCGGGCTTCCATAGGTCGATGCTACTACATACGAAGTACATACGAACACACGAATACACGGGACCCACCTGTACGGCGTCACCCACGGCCGCCGTGAAGGGCGCGTAGTTGGCCCAGTCGTCCTGGTCGAAGGGGTCCTCGATCGACACGATCGGGTACTTGGCGGCCAGGTCCTTGTACAGCTGCCCGAGCTCCTCGCCGGTCAGCTGCTGGTCACCGCCCTTGTTCTTGAAGTCCAGGTCGTAGCGCCCGTCGGGCATAAGGAACTCCGAGGAGGCCACGTCCATGCCTACCACCACCTTTAGGGGGGGGGGGGGGGTTTTGGGGGGGGNGGGGGGGGGGGGGGGGGGGGGGGGCTTTAGGGTGAGGTTAGTCGCGCTGATACGTAGGGCAGGCTTATAGTGGAATACAGTCCTCTAACGATAGGGAGGTCAGGTTGAGCGGTGTCGCACCGATACGTGGGCAGGCTTGTAGTGTGGTAGTCCTCCAAACATAGCACCCACCACCAATTTAGTGCACGCGTGTTTGGTCGCCTGCAAGGTCACGTAGCTGTCTGCCACCTCGCCACAGAAAGGACACACTGCAGCCCATCACCGCACTCTGCTGTTCCTGGCATAACAGGGAGAGACGTAGCCCCTAGGCAGCGCCAGCACACCTCTACGCCCCATCACGGGCCCCAGCAATTCACACACACACACACACACACCGAGATGAGAATTAGTTCAACACCCCAACAGCAGCTCATGTAAATATAGCAAGCTGATACAACAGGCCGTTCTGAACCCGTTCCGTCCTCCATTTGCGAGAGGCTGCCTCGTTACTACACACATCCAAAAGTGTGCCACTGCGAAGAAAGGGATACCACGGACCCCCCCGCCCCCGCGCCGCCCCCTATCCCGAAGGAGCTATAAGCTCACCTTGTCCTCGTAGCCGGCCTTCTTGATAGCTGCCATCAGCAGCTCGATCCCCTCGAGGTTGCTCTGGATGTTGGGCGCGAAGCCCCCCTCGTCTCCCACGTTGCACGCGTCCTGCCCGTACTTGCCCTTGATGACCGACTTGAGCTCGTGGTACACCTAGAAAAAAAAAAAGAGTAGTAACCTAGAGAAAAAAAAAAGTGGCACACCTAAAAAAAAAAGGGTAATAAACCTAGAATAAAAAAACACGTGGTACACCTAGAGAACAAAAAAGAAAGTGGTACAGCAGTACACCCATTAAAGAAAAAAAGGTGGTAAACCTACGTAAAGAAAAAAAAATGCGGTACACCGAAAGGAAAAACAAAAATATGTCTGGACGCGGTATTGTATCCAACATGTGCATAGATGAAGACCTAAAGAACTAACCAACAGATGGCAGAACAAAACAATCAACAAGTGTGTGGTGGAATGGAACACCCGAAAAGATGATCAGCGGTCCCTCGGGAAGAAACATGACAGCCAACACCAGACACGAGATGCGCACCCAAATGCTGCCAACAACCCGCAGAGCAAGATCAATCCAACGGACTACCACGTACTGCGAACCAAACCCATCCCAAGACATAAGAGGCAACACAAAGAACCACCACCAGCAGCAGCGACAACCAAACCACAACATCAACAACAAATTCACCTCGCATCCGATGGACATGGCCTCGGTGAAGGTCTCCGCCCCCGTGGGAAGGATCATGAACTCCTGGAATGCCAGCTTGTTGCCGGCGTGCTCGCCACCGTTGATGACGTTGAACGAAGGCACCGGCAGCACGAGCTGCATCAATGGATCACGATCGATGGTTATAAATCAGAGTGCGGGCGTTCCCGATTGGAACCACGCGATCAGGGGGGGGGAGGGGGGGGGGGGGTGTCAGGTTCTCGATTGATGAACGTGTTCGTGATTTCTTTCCCGCGATGAAAACCCATGCCATTATCATCGGTCTGCTAGGCTAAAACGGCTGACGCTCATGAAACAACACACTCAAATATGACGTACTATCATCGGTAACCGGCTGTAGCACGGTTGACGCCAAATAAAAAAAACACTAAACACAGAACACACTATCCCGCCTCACAGCGACAACGGGAAAGCCAACTCATCGCCAAACACCGCTGTTTCCAGCCGCACTGAGGCTGACCTCGTCTCACTGGCCATCCTGGTTAACGTCATCGACGAAAACAGTAAGACGGTACACACGCGCGCGCACCACAGAGAAAAAAAACACTCACTGCTGTAGTAAAGACTTTCAACCCCATCCCCTCAAAACTTTTTAAATCTCGGAACGGGTGCTCTTTCTGGCGACAGAACATCTTCTAGAAAACCTGCAAAAGCTCACGTCCGAGTTGCCCGCGAGGTCAGCGTAGTGCTGGTACAGGGGCACCGCCTTGGAGCCCGCGCCGGCCTTGGACACGGCCAGAGACGCGCCAAGGATGGCGTTAGCCCCGAGGTTGCCCTTGTTGGGCGTCCCGTCCAGCTCGATCATCTTGGCGTCGATGCCCTCCTGGTCCGTGGCGTCCAGGCCGATCAACGCGGGGCCGATGGTCTGGTGAGAAAAAAGAAGAAAGCACACGGGGGAGCGGAATGTGAGTGAGGGAGGCGTTATGTGGGGCTGACTGCGACGCGTCGTGTACAGAAGGTGCGTGTGTGTGTATGCGTCTGCTCTCTAGCATCGGCCGCGGAAACTTGGTCGGCCAATGACAAGACACCGTCAGTCTTACGTATGTGCGCGCATGTGCGTCTCTTGATAAGCATCGACAGCCCTAACCCGGCCGACCGACGAAAGAGCTAGAGACCTCAGCCTTGTGACAGCGGGACAATCGCAAAATCTCCGAGAACGCTTTCCAGTCGTGGCAACTAACCCCAAACCTAGCCCTACGTACGGAAGAGAGGTCGCATCGAATCGACCCTGAGCGGCAGAGCGGCCACGTGTGCCGAATAGTCGGCCGCGTGCGGTGTCAACCCCCCGCTTTTTAGTTTCGTTGTTCGGCTCGGTTGGGAGCGGAAGAAAACCAGACCAACCCCTCTGCGACACTGTGGCGTGTGGCGTCTTTCAACCTATGCCTCTCTGTTCTACCCGACCCGAGCAGTGTACGTTCGTAGATACATAGTCCCGATTGTGTCGGTCGGATCAAAACACAAATCGTCAGCGTAATGCCACAGGAAAGTTGCTGCTCTGAATCACTTGCTCCATCGTTTAGAACTGGCACTATTCTACCAACAGGACGTGACTTCACGACCGGGATCCTCAACACGGTGTTCTCGTCGTCGCGTTTCCGGACCGGACAGAAGACGACCAAGACCATCTTTCGCACCGTCCCAATGAAAGGTCTTGATGACCAAAAACCAAATCGACACCCGCTTTGCTGGTCCAATACTGTAGTACGGGACTTGTGTTCTCCTGCATTTCACCATTCTTCCTCACAGCTGCAGAGCCGCGGACCAGCTTCACGGATGCAACTCCAACACTCCCTCAAGGCAAACATGAATACTTACGCACTCGGCATCATGCTTACCTTGTTCCACCGCCCTTTGTGATAGATGATGGCACTGCCGTGACGGATAATATGCCCGACACGAGAAAGCGGCTGTAGACTGCTGTATGGCTACCAAATAAATAGACGCAGCTGAACAGAAGTTCTTGTTTTGGCTACAACGACAGACGCTACCGCTGAACGAAAAAACAAAAAAGGAGTGGCCCCGCCCCACCTTGTTGACGTTCTCGACCGCCTTAGACACGCCCTTTCCCATGTAAAGGCTGCCCCCGTCGCGGAGCTCCACGGCCTCGTGCACGCCCGTGGAGGCCCCAGAGGGGACCGACGCGCGGAACAGTCCCTCCTTCGTCGACACGTCCACCTGGGACGAAAATGAAAGACGGCGAGCGGTGACGGACGGGCGGTTAGAGCGGGGGGGGGGGGGGGGG